CTGAGAATGACCTGCTTGATAAAGGGGTCGAACCAGAGACATTGAGGTGGCCAGACCGTTGCCGGACTTGGTTCTTCGGGGCTGGCGGAACCTTGGACCCTATATCAGGGAAGTGCGTTTGGACGGACGAGCAAATGAGAATACCAGTCACGAGGCTTTAGGGGTATATCGATGCAGCCAGCAAGGAACGTTCGTTCCAGACAGAGAGAACGACAAGCTCACAATGGCCCTCGGGAATCCTGAGCACTCTGGACGGACACGAGGCACGCCAGGCTCCGTTCCGTGGAGGGCTGGGTTTCTGGACGCAGGTGGTTACAAATTCCAGGAGAGGAGGAAGAAAGTGGAGCAGATCCAAATTCAGGCGCTGCACGCAAGGGTACAAGCGATAGAGTAACGAGAAGCAGATCGCAACAAGCGACCTGCCGAAGCTTCCCTCGAAGCTACCCCGCCATCTCAGCGGTGAAGCAGCATGGCTTCCACCGAGCTGCAGCAGCTGGAGCCTGTCTTCACGGTTCCTGCTAGCTACCCCGTGGACTTCATCATGGAGTCTCAAAATTGCCACCTTATGACACAATGGATGAAAATGAAAGTCAAGGCGGTTGTTGGCTCTGTTGCACCTCCTGAACCTGGCACAACTTTTCACTGCCGGCCCATTCCAGAAGGATATGCTAGGGTGATGGTGGACGAAATAATGGAGGGATTTGAGGAGCTCGAGCTTGACCACCCTACCGGTGAAGGGGAGACTCGACTGGGTTCTGCTCTGAAGACTCCATGCCTATGGCGGAAGGAGCTCATCAACCTTCTGAACTGGCCGCCTCCGCCTCCTCCTCCTCCTCCGGCGAGTCAGGTCACTCCGCCTCCTCCTCCGGCGAGTGATCAGGGCACTCAGCCTCCTTCTTCGGCGCGTGGTGGCACTCCGCCTCCTTTTCCGCCTGCGCCAGCACGCCCGAGCAGCCAGCCTACTCCTTCTCCGCCTCGTCAGCAAGGGCGGAAGAGACCCGCCGCCGCTCCGGCTGCTCCGGCGCATCATAGTCCTCCTCCTCGTAAGCAAGGAAAGAAGACAGTTGTAGCCGCTCCGTCTGCTCCGGCGTCTAGCAGTACATCCAGAGGCAGGAGGCAATACATATTCGGTCCTTCTCTGAAGACTCCAGAGAAGTTACCATACGAGAGGACCCTGGAGGAAAACGAGAAAATCGTGCGAGACAAAGTGAAGAACTTCTTTGAAGGGGTGAAAGCAAAGAAACATCCACCTCCGGAGGAGAAGGTAGATCCGGTGAAAGCGAAGCGCACTCTAGAAGCCCTGAAGAAACCACCAAAGTCTCCGCTGAAAGGTAACTATGAGCGCATTATTGAAAGGTCATTTATCGAAGCGGAGCGGTCGGGAAGTACTGTCAGTGATCAAAGGTTAGCGGAACGACGAGCTGGGAAAAAAATTTCCCAACTCGGCGAACAAGCGAACCAATCGTTCCCCCCGCTCAAGGTGTCTAGCGATATCGTCGCTAACGATTCGACGATGGTGCCCGGTTATAACAATGTTGAAGATTACCTGCCCGACGATGTACATTATGAATTCTTGGACGTGGAAGAACACAGATACGAGTACGGGAAGCCTCTCGTCAAAGATGAAAGGTCTCTAACAACGATGATGCGAAGATTCCATGATTGGTACATGAAAACCTGCAGAGAGTCTGGGGGGAGGAATACTTTGACGCTAAGAGTTAAAGAGGAGCATGACCTCGTTGGAACTGATCTGTTGAATGTTCCATTTGAGGAGTTCTTCCAGTTTTTCAATCAGAGCGCCCTCAATAAATTAACGGTCACTTGCTACTATCTATAAGTACTACTTCTGTCATTAAGTCTCTATATATAGGTCAGCTCTTTCATTGCATGTATTTATAATTATCCTCACTATATTATGCAGATTGAAGATCGCCGAATTGAAAAAAAGACAAATCGGTGATATTGGGTTCATTAACACAAATATCATAGATGCATATTCGGTTGAATTTAAGAAAAAAGAAACCAAGGCCAACTTGCTACGATCGTTGGTATTAAATCAAAACAAAGCTATAATACTCTTTTCTTACAACTTCAAGTGAGTGTTACTTTCTTGTGTATATTCGGTTTTCCTTATTAGTCCAGGTTATAGTAATGTAATTGATGAGTTATGTACGCGTGCGTAGGTTCCATTGTATTCTCCTAGAGATTAAGCTCGAGGAGGGAGTAGTAACCGTCTTAGACTCGAGACGAAAAGATCCCAAGGAGTATGCGGACATGACTGAAATTCTCGAGAAGTAATTTAAATCGATCATTATCGCACCATATCGGCAACTTTGTTCACTTCCTGATATCAAGTAATTGTTTTCTTTGTCTGGCAGGGTTTGTAAAAATTCACCTCAAAAGCTTCGGGACTGCCGAAGAAGCTAGAATTTAAACACCCGAAAGTAAGTACTATTAGCATGTTCCATGCATCTCCTACTGATTCAAGTGCTAGTTTCATCAATATCATTTTAGCATGCTTGCTTATCAGTTTGATTGACCTCTATTTCTTGTAAAGTGGTTGTGGCAGGAAGCCGAAAATAATTACTATGGATACTACATTTGTGAGTCTATCTGCCACACGACCTGTGAGCGGGGCTACACTAAAAAACAATATGAAGTGCATAAGCAATAATATTCAGAATTTAAATTTATTTACCATCTTTTGTGTTGCATTTCATTCATTCATATATATATATATATATATATATATGTGTGTGTGTGTGTGTGTGTGTGTGTGTGTGTGTGTGTATTGACCCCCTTCTTCAAATTAGATGTTTCGGATGCGGGATGAACTCCTAGCACCAGATCGTATGCGAGGAATTCAAGAGGAGTTGGCGGCATTCTTTCTTGACCACGTGATCAATAAAGACGGAGAATACTATGTGGACCATGTGTTCACATATAATTAGGGGATTATATTATAAGAGATCTTATATTGTATATATGTAGCCAGTAGCGTCGGATAGATATACGAAAACTTGTTGTTCGACCAATCTCTCGGAGAAGGGGAGGTTGATATCACTTCTCTCTGTATGCATATGTTCATGACGATCTTCTGTTTCCTTCATTTTTGCTTACTAGCTAGCGTGTCGAGTGCTCTCTATACGTATAGTACGTAGCGTCGACCAAGCACGGAGATAAGAGATGACACTTCTCACTATTAATTAATTAGCTACCTAACACAATATATGAAACACCTTAATTAACCATACAAAACCCCCAAATCCCCCCCTCAGAAAAAAAACAAAAACCCTAACCCCTGAACAGTTGACGCGTGGATGCCTATTGGTCCCGGTTGGTGCCACCAACCGGGACCAAAGAGCCTCCTGCCTGGGCTCGCCGCACCGGCCACGTGGAGGCCAGTCTATCCCGGTTCGTGTAAGAACCGGGACTAAAGGCCAAGGGCATTAGTAACGACCTTTTAATCCCGGTTCCAAAACCGAGACAGAAGGCCCTTACGAACCGAGACAAATGGCCCTTTTCTACTAGTGTACGTCTCCCTCATAGCTAGTGTTCCTGATTATAACTGCTGATACTCCCAATAAAGCACTTGTTCCATCCCTACATATTGCACCAACGGCACGGAACAAGCCATTGCCAGACACCGCTGCATCATCATTAGGCTAGTCATAGTGGGAGTAACTTAGCTAGTAACATAGCGCACTTCGAGAAAATTCTGCTTATGTGGCAAATAATTAATGAGAGACGGTAACATAATATGCGGTAACATAATATGTTACTGTAAGACAAGATGAGTCCGCGTTAACTCGATGTTCTCCATGTAAGAGGTGAGCTGGGAGCCTGGGATCGGCTCGTGGCACCATTAAGCCCAAAACGCTAGCTTGGCTTGGATCCGATTCAATTAAATTTTTTATTGCATCCACTTAAATTCAATCAGGCCAAAATAAAAATTGAAGATACTTCTTGACCAAAGAACTCAGCCATGCCACCTTTTTTTTGGATCAGAGGGAGTATAAAAAGTAAGCCATAGTAAATAGTGAATACTAATAGGAAAAAAAACAGCGAATCTTTCATACTTGAATATCCTGCAAAATGCTTGCAAAGAGGGTTAGGAGGGTATGAATGCACCAATCATCATCATTAAATTCAGCATTGTAATTAGGAATGTAACCCATTATTCTTAATTGTTCCCACACGGTTTATGCACCAACTAACGATGAATGCATTCGGCGCAGATTCATATAGAGTACTCTCTAGGATCTACTAGACAGTAATTGCGCGAGTGTCAGCACTACAATGCTCCTGGGCAAAGAAGATGCGATTCCCGGGGAGGTCAAATGTGAAGCGCGTGTCCACCTACTGCGCCGCGCCGAGCACCGTCATCTCCTCGTCCGGCACGACGGCGAAGCACAGGTGCTGGTTCACCCTCACGAACAGCAGTTCCGGCTTGATGAAAAGCCTGGTCGCTTCTTCGTGCAGGTCGAAGGTCAAGCTCGGAAAGCGCACGTGGTCCCACGAGACAAAGCAGACGTGGTACCCCTGCACCGGCACCGTCGAGCGGCGCGCCCCCTGCTTGTGCATGTCCGCCGCGACCTCGGCCTCTACGACGTCATACGCCGCGCGGACCAGCCTGGTCAGGGGAGTCCCGGGGTCGACGACGGACCCCCCACGACGGGTTTGTAGATCCCGCCTAAACATCGCCATCTTTACGCCGTTAAGTTTTTTCCTGTTGAAGCTGATGTCGACGATGCGGATATAGTACGTGCTACTTTGGCCGTAGCCCGGTCCCGTGAACAGCAGCGACGTGCTCCGCATGTGCTCGTGCCTTGGGATGTCGCGGCCGAAGCGGAGGAACCCGTGCCTGGCGCCGGGGTGGCTCTGTCCGGGGAAGAGGCAATATGAGAACCGCGAGTCGGCCAGCCCGCGTGCGGTGAGCTGGCGCAGGAACGACGTCGGGTGCCTGCTCAAGCTCAGGGCCCCGGCGAGAACGCCGTGATTCAGGCCCACGAATCCGTCCGTCGTGTGTGCGCACAGAAGATGAGGTTGTCGACGTCCCTGTTGTGTTCTCCTCCTCCTGCGCCGGGGCTGCCGGCGAAGGCAAACGTGTCGCTGCCGAGGTAGCCGTGCGCGGCGACGTTCCAGGAGGTGGTGTAGAAGCTGCACCGGTTCCGGCCGGAGGGGGTGTAGGGGGGCGTACACTTGGGGTCTGCGGGCTTCATGTGCTTGTAGCGAGGGGACTCAGCAGAGTCGAAGACGGCGCCCTCCTGCCGAACCTCAGGCACGCAGGGCTGGCACTGCATCCAAGTCAGATTGCCGACGAGGTCCAGCCCGAGCTTGTAGAAGTGCCTGGTTTGGCCGGAGCCGACGCCGACGAGGACGCCGTACAAGGGCCACGCCACGGGGGCTATGTGCGGACCTATGCTGGTGAGGTTCGCGTCAAATTGCCCGAGCCCGCCGGCTGTGTCGTGGTTGGACACGATAGACAGACTGAATCCACCGCTCGGTGTCGGTGGTGCCGCATTGCCGGCGACGCCGTGGCTGGCCGAATTCAGCAGAGCAAGGAGGAAGCAGAGCTTACAAGCATATAAAACAGACATGCTTGATTCCTCCGATCTCTATACTAGGGCTATGTTCGATGAAGCCAGAAAGACGGTTGAGCGTACGTCCTTCATTTGGAGGTCGTCTGTTAAATAGACTCAGAAGAATCCATCTCTGGAGTATCTATCTCTAGATGGATATGCATGCATTGGTGACTCCGATTACTTAGTGCAGCCAAGATACAGGGCGGCTAATTAATCAATCGACTCTGAAGTATCTCTAGATGGATATGCATGCATTGGTGAGGAGAATACTCGACATGTCGATGGTTGAAATGATACGAAAGCTCCCTAATTCCTCCAACAACCTTATTAATGAGTTTTTGTCAATAGTACTCCCTCCTTTCGGGTTTACGGAAACCAACGACCAAAACGGTGCGACCAAGGGAACCTTCCGTAAAAAATATTATATGTCGATAATTGTGAGAGCTCCTAATCGGCACTTCAGGCGCCAAAAAATCGCTACGGCGCTCACAGCCCACAAGCTATGGGCGAATGTTTTAAAAATGCTCACGAATTCGAAAAAATATTCATGAAGTTCAGATATGTTTATGAATTTGAAAAAAGTTCATGGATTTGGAAAAAGCTTATGAATTATAAAAATGTTAGCCCATTTACAAAAAGTCTAGAATTTAAAAAATTCAAGGATATGAAAAGGTTCACAAATTTTAAAAAATTCACAAGGTAAGAGGACACTGGCGGATGCCGCGCTGTGTTCGTTGGGGATGGGGCATGCCCGTCCCTCTCCCACTGAGAGGTTCCCTTCTGCGGCCCGGAATGTGGTGTACTTTTACCCCTGTTTGATGGGCATGCAAAAGTATCAATCCTTCATTTTAGTTTATCCAGAGGTTGCGGCGAGTGAAGCGTTGAACAACATCCGAAGCTTGTGCCCTTTGCTCGCCCCTGTACCTCCAAGAGTATCTCATCTGCCGCTGGGGCATCGAGAGTGGCATCAGGACTAATTCATCTTAAAATTTGTCGTTGTTATGAGCTAGAGTGAGTAGCTAATTTATATAAATTCTACTCCCTCAGTTTCTGAATATAAGTCTTTTTAGAGATTTGAATATGGAGTACATACGTATTTTAGAGTGTAGATTCACTCATTTTGCTTTATATGTAATTCATATTAGAATCTCTAAAAAAACTTATATTTAGGAATGGAGGGAGTATTTGATGTATTTTGTTGCTTTTCTTCCAAGAAGTCAAATTCGTGCAAACAAACAAGTATAGTGCCTACAATTTCTAGGTATATTTTGCTCTGAGCTCACATAAGTTGGTGCTGTACCAACAACATCGTCGCTTGTCAGCTAACTGTTGGTGCATATTCCGTTCACTTCTAGTGTTTCCTACAATAATGCAAACATCATCCAGATCTTTTTCTAGTTTCAGCAGAGTAGAAAAAATGCATTTCGAACATGGGTGAACATGGACCAGACGGGTGAATGCATTCTTGGATGTCGCTAATCTTTTGACAATCTATTGTGCTTGCTACAAAAGCAAAATCACAAAAAGCTACTTCACTCATGGAAAAAAGAAGTCAAAGACAAAATTCAGTCTAATTTCCCCATGTTGCTTCAGGGGCATCGAGAACAAACAAAATGACATTGGTCGCAGGAGATCGCATACTAATCCATCCAAAAGAATCAATACAATATGGATTCTGTGGGTAGTAGAGCCTAGATTACGTTCGAATACCAGGGAAATCACCTTGTTAACAATGACAAATCATTAGCCAATTCTTTGCAGAATGGCATGAACGTGTGCGGCGCCCCCCTACAGAATTCCGTCCCTCGGTCATATTTTCGTAGTACTTAGGCGAAGCCCTGCGGAGATAGCATCACCATCATAGTCACCTCGCCGTCATGTTGCCGGAACTCATCCACTACTTCGCCGTCTTGCTGGATCAAGAAGGCGAGGACGTCACCGAGCTGAACGTGTGCTGAACACGAAGGTGCCGTACGTTCGGTACTCGATCGGTTGGATCACGAAGAAGTTCGACTACATCAATTGCGTTAACAAACGCTTCCGCTTACGGTCTACGAGGGTACGTAGACACACTCTCCCCTCTCGTTGCTATGCATCTCCATGGATAGATCTTGCGTGTGCGTAGAAAAAAAATTATTTTCCACGCAACGTTTTCCAGCACCATGGTCCTTCTTGCATTACCCTCTCCCAATCACAAGGCAGCAAAACTGAAGAGTGTAGAGGTTCGGTTCCCGAGGCTTGAAGTTGACTTCCTGTGCAAGATCCCAGGCGGATCGCATGTTCCTGAAGAACCATCCCTGACTGTAAGGTTTGTCAATGTGAACCCTTGCCACCGCCATCCACCTTGCTGCATCTTGAGGGATAGCTTCCTCATCAACCACGACATCATCCATGCCATCCTCACAGAGCCCTAGCTCCGCCATCATCCTCTCTACCTCCAACTTTCGCCGCCATCTGTCAAAACCTTGCCCGAAGATGAAAAAACCGTCGGGCGATGAAAAACAGCGGAGCCCTACACCGAGCCGCCTGCCAAGGGAGGAACGACCTAGGCCGCGAAGCCCTAGGCGCTCCTCGGAGTCAGATCGGCGGGAGGGAAAAAACTGATCTCAACGGCGGCTGCGGACGCCTCCGAGAGGAAGAAACCCTACCGAGAGGGAAAGATTCTAGCAAATACAAAAGTTGGACATAAAAAAGGCAATTGTTGTTTGGGCTGCGTGGCCCAGTATTTTCTGCCAACCTATCCTCTCATCATCGTTTCTTCTTAATTAATTTACTGTCTACTACTTCCATACGAATGCAACATCTACTTTTGCTTGTGCGGGTGACTCCGGAGGCGACTCAAAACCTAGGACAAAAAGCTCTATCTCTTATCGCTCCGGCAGTCGGCCATGGCGGCCCCACCCTTCCATCAAAGATGAAGGGAGCAGGGGTGCACCTTGTGACCCTCACTGCAAACAAGCACACGAAGTATGGAGGTGTTGGAGTGGCGGCGATAGCGCATGGCATTGCATCAAGGTGGAATAGGCGCGACCATATGTAGCTTCCTGCACCTTGGGGAGCAACTTCATACGTTATTGGGCTGCCAGTTGTTGCAAGCCTAAGCTTGTTCCTCCCATGTATGTATGGATGTATATACTGCCAAAATCCCTTTTGGCGGCCACGCTCGAATGAGGTTGTTTTTTGAAAATTCAAAATTCATCAAATTTCATAGTTTTACATTCAAATTTTTTTTAATAAAATTTAGATATACATAGAGGCATAATACACATGTGTGTAAATTTTCAGGACTAAATATATTGAAGTGAGGACTGTGAAAAAAATATAAATCTAGGGCTATTTAACACATAATACTATTCATTCTCCCAGACCCTGAATTTGTCTTTTTTATACAGATCACATTTCAATATATTTCATCCTGAAATTTTACACATACCATCCTTCTTTATTTGTAAAAAAAATGAATCTGAAAAGTTTATTTTTTTTTAAAAAAGAGGCCTTCATAGAGGCCGAGAGCCAAAACGCCTCAGTCGTATGCACAAAGATCAGTTGCGACAGTTCATCCTTCCTCGAATTAGGAAGAACAAGCTTTGGCTTGCAACAACTGGCAACCCAATAAGGTAGGAGCCAACTACCGTGTCAACCGTCACATCATTGCCCATCCAGTACAAAGCATTTTAGATTATATCTTGATTTTTGCTTCTTGTGTACAGATATCATTAAGGCTCAGTAAACTTTTCAGCCTCCCACGGTCGCGCCTATAAAAGCACACACATCAAACCGAGGAGATCTCCAAACCGAAAGGCGGTCACAATCACTTGGCAAACATGGATACCAAGGCGGCAACAACGCTTGCCCTGACGCTCGTCCTCAACGAGCAAGTTGTCCAAGGTAGAGTCCTCCACCGAAGACCAGCCCACTGGCCCCAACCGCTCTCCACCGGTGGCAGCGCCTCCACCGGCA